ATTTGGGAGTCATTTTTGGAATAAACCATGGGCACACCATCTCTTGAAATTGTTAGTACTGTTCCAGCAGATAAATTGTTCTGGAGGCACTCTGGGCCCCATTCCTCTTTTTGAGTAAGATTATACAGGAATTTAAATTGCTCTGATTGTTTCAGGCAATGGAATGCCCTTAGAAACGGATTGCCATTTACCAATACAAGGGAAGTTGTAACTATAGAACAGGGTATTATTAAGAAAATGGCGTGTTTTTCTAAAAGGCCATAACTACAGAATTTTTTGTCGGATTCAGCTCAAACTTTCTACATAGCAGAGGACATTAATGTGTATCGGAAAATGTAATAAGAATTGGGAGTGACTTTGGAGGCATTTTTAGAAAACTCATTGTCTATAGCTTGTCCTTAGCATACCGTAGGGCGCCTTTTTTTCGAGGGCTATGAATTTCGTGGATTTTTATTTCGCGGATTTAATTTTTGCGAATTTATGCCGTCTGCCATCTTGTTACCGTATTGATTTGATTTTCGCGAAAGTAATTTTCGCGAATCTTTATAAAAATCGCGAAATCCGCGAAATTTATAGCCCTCGAAAAAAGGCGTTCTACAGTACTTTTGTATTTTGTCATTATTATTATGTTATAAAACAATAATATAAAAGAGTTTCAATATACTTTTTTCCTCTTTAGTTCAGTTCTCTGTGGAACTAGTTTTGAATTATTTCTTAATTTATTATCCAAGTGTTTGAGTGATCGTACCCACAGCAGCCAGATATAGAGACAGCTCAAAACAAGGTACGTTTAAGTATGTGTACATGTATAGCTAGAACAGATGTATTTGTGCTTTTAATATTAATATTTTAATGTTTTAGGGTTTATTTAAAGATTTCATGTAAGAAAGTATTAGAATTGTCCAGTGAAGGTTTTAGCAATATGATATCAGTCTTTCTGACTCTTTGTCATTCTTGTGACCTTGAGGATATTGAAGTGGTAAGTACCTAATTATAACTAGAAACTATAGAGGGTTTGGACTTTGATCTGCCCAAAAATCTATTTGTATTGATTTAATTTAAAAGGATTCAGCCATCTTGTATCGTGTTATATTTATACATGTCTGGGATTTTTAATATTGCAAATCTTAGCAAAATTGTAAATTTATTAAAAGTGAAGACTTTCAATAGTTCCAGCTCTTATGTTAAGATAATAAAATTAATGAGAAAGGGAGAGAGTGGAAGATAAATTAATTGTTGTTATTATTTTTGTTAGGGTCAGCAGTTTTATACATCTCTGGAGTATCAGCAGTTATCTTCAACTTCTGAAAAGAATTTGAAAATTATGTGAAAAGGCATGGTATTTAATTTAATCTTAATAATTGTATAATTGTAATAGGAATATTATTATTGTTAATGATTTATCACTCAAGAGTCAAGAGGCATCTCAGTTTATTCAGTGGCAATATTGAGCAACATAAGGAAAAAATATTGAAATATTGGTTGAGTAAGTCACTATTTAAGAAATAATTTTTATTATAATTGAAAAAATGTTTGGTTTTATTGCATTGTAAAATATTAATTATGTCCAAATTACTTATCGTATCTGTCCCTTTTTTAGTGCCTATTCTAAACAGTCTCATTCCATTCTTATTACTGACGTACTGTACAATACTTTATCCACCATATTAGAAGGACTCCACCAGTTATTAGTTAATAGGTGTATTCACGTACAGCAGTTGATTGGTCAGTAATTGCTACCACAATGCATGTACCATAAATACTGTCTTAATTTTAGGGCCGTATTTTGGAGACCTAATTAAAGGAACAGGAAAATTATTTCCAGATATTTTGAGATTTATTATCAATATGGTATCTAGTATTGAGTAAGTTATTCTAATTAAGTAAATTTACATGTAAAATATCAATTGATGCAAATGACTGTTTTATGACTAACGGATTTTGTATTCATTCCCAATTACTTTTTACTATTTAATAGTGAGCATCTTCATGAATTATCAGTTCCTGTTACAAATGAAATCCAGCAAGTTAAGAATTATAAAAGTTTGTCATTAATTTAACTTCATCTTTAACTCAGTCTCCTCCTTTATTATTAGGTTCATTGTATGATTCCATTGACGTTATTACTGGAAGATACTAGTTCATTATTTCATAGATCTGAGGATTTAACCCTTTTATTGGTTGAGACCGCCATTGCTATGACAACTTGTGTATGTGAATGGTGAGATAGTATTATGATTTTTGTTATTATTATTGTTACTTAGTTGCTCCAAAATTGGGCCAAAGGCTTTGTACATACAGGGTCTTTGGCCAAATTTCGCCATAAATGACAAAAAGGAAAATCTACGTTTTAATAATTTTTCTGATACATATACTTGTTCTCATGTGATGTAGCAAGTTTGGACTTATTCTGATCAGAAGTAGATTTATTACGAATTTTAAAATTTGCTCAAAAATTGTATCAAAGTCCCTGTGCTATATAATAGTACAGTAATTTTAGCCAAATTTTGTCAAAAATGAATTTGAGAGAATTCTTTATTTTTATCACATTTTCTGGTACATATACATGTTCTTATGTCGTGTAGAAAGTTTGAACTAATTTTGATCAAATTTGGATTTTTTACAAATTTTTCTAGTAGTTCAAAAATTGCAGGGGCGTATCCAGTAGGGGCTGAGGGGGGCTTGAGCACCCCCCCTCATGGCTGGGCTCAGAAAAAAATTACTCAAATCCTGGACTTTTGCATCACTACCAAGCCTCTTAACAAAGTTATCTAGCCCCCTGATGATGATTTCAGCAGTTTCCAGTGCTTTCAGGAGCAATCAGAAGTCGTCAGAAGTCTAGTATGCTTGAAATTATTTTGACCCCACCCGTAATTCACGAATATGATGGAAAACGCCGTTTTACCGCCGCAAAAAGGTGTGGCCAAAATTGCGACACACTTCGTGCACCCTCAGCACCCCCCTTTCCACAATTCTGGATACGCCCCTGAATTATGTCTATGTCCCTGTCCTATAAGTACAGGGATTTTGGTAAACTTTCGTCAAAAATGGTAGCACAGTTTTTGACACATTATTAATGTTATTACTTTTTATTAATTGAACCTTCTCTTGCCAATGGTGCATCACTAAGGTACTGTACAATCATTTTTTCTTAATTTTAATATTATTCTTATTATTTATTATTATCAATATTAGTAATGTTTATCAAATAGCATCATCAGTTGTGAGGCATTGCTCAAAACTCACATTCAGCAAGGTAATGAATAATAATAAGGTCATTATTAACTAATAATGAATTGTCACCTTAGACTGATAGCAAATGTTAAATACCACTTCTATTGAATAAGCTAATGATTTCATCATCATCAGGCCAGCTGCCAGAGACACCAGCACTTATTCGAAATTACTTATGTCACATAAATAAGTAACAAATTTTCCTTAGTTATCTTATTTTTTTAACCTTTATAGTTCCTTCGTGGTTTGTTTGTGATTGATAAAGATCAGTTTATTGACAGAAAAATAAAGCAAATATTCTCACATTATTTCTTAAGCTATCTTCAATCCAACCCAAACTCATCCACTAATCCATTTGTATTATTAGTGTCTCCAGCTTTTTATGAATCTCCCAATAAATACAATTGGTTAGTCAATTACACATACATGTTTATGGAATATTGATATTCCGTGCTTTACATTGTTGAATATTTTTTCCATAATTATAGTTGTTCATATTCATCTCTAATTTGCCTAATGTTTTGGGAGTTGATAAATGCCTTATACCAAGAGTCCATTATATTTAGAGAGAGTGTTAAAATGGCCTATAGCACTAGTGATATCACCACGTAGAAGCTTCAATTAGTACTTCCTTTGATGTTCAGAAGACTGGAGTTGCAGGCTAGGAACAAAGAATGGGAATGAGTTAACCGTGCCAAAGGGTGTGTCATTTAAATAACCAGACTGTGCCCTTTGTGTTTCATCAAATTGGAGAAGTCCAGGAAGAGCTGCTATAGCAACAAAATCCCGATGATGAGAGACTTGGTGGAGCAAGAGCAAGTGTTGATTCAACAGGCATACCAACTGGAGGTGGGAGAAAAGATCTAGAGGCTCCTATGAACCACAAGTGGCTGCTCGTAGAGATCTAAGACCAAAATGTTCAATAAAAATGAAAGGACTGCTGAAGTAGTGGGCCTACCCTACTGACAGTAGTGATGAATGGTACCACCACATAGAGTATAGTGATCATCATATAGAATATGAAGAGACCATCATTGGTAGGATCATTGAGTGACAGATATGATAAATGGAATATATAAGTGAACACAACTCCACAAGTAACAGTCCTAGCTGGGAATGAGGAGGTCTTATCACTGCACCCCTGAGGAAGAGGAGGAGGAGAGAGAAAGGATGAGTGCTTTAAAGTTATACCTTACTAATAATGTATGTACTGCTATTGTCAGTATTAATGTACACTGTATATTGAGGGGTTCGGTCTACTAACTTTAGCTGATATTAATAGTTGTGAATTTGTACATGTTCAAGTAAATTTAGCATTTGTCGTATAGAAAGAAATTTTGGAGGTAGTTAAATTTGGCAAATTTGGCGTTTTGATAGCCATTCACCAAAGTAAAAATCCGTCATTTTGAGCCATTATGCGCATGCTCAATGGCACGTGGCCACAAATTTACCAATCACCAAAATTTAACAATTCACCAAATTTAACTCCATCCAAAATTTCCTTCTATACAGTAAAATCTCTTGCTTAAGATGCTAATACTAAACCATTACTACACGTATTAGTTAAAGCACCGTTGAGAGCGGTCTTTAACTAATACGTTGAGAGCGGTTGAGAGCACCATTGAGAGCGGTTAAAGCACTGTTAAAGCGGTCTCGAGGAAAATGTAGCACTCGGCTTCGCCTCGTGCTACATTTTCCTCTCGACCGCCCCCTCGTGCAATAATTTCCGTAATCTACGAATCAACGGTGCTTTAATTGGTTTGTAGTGGTGCGTGGGCGAATCAAATTTCCTTTCAAAAGTCGCACAAGTGGCCAGGTGCAAGGCGATAATGGCGGAAGGATTATTGAACCTCCACAGAAGAAGGCTAAACTTTCATTGAAACTTAAGAAGCCACTCCGTGAAGTGCAGAACACAAGGTTTTCGTCTCCAATAAGCCAAGAGGTCTTAGCAGAAGCTACAAAAGGAGTCGTTCCCACGAACACAAAGAAGTGTAGTTCCTGGGCCGTTAAGGTTTTTACTCTTGGATGGAATGTCGAAATGCTCAAGTGCCACAGGATTTAATCCCTGCTGACATACTAAAGTCGCCTGATTCACACGCCCTTTGCAAGTTTTTACGATGTTTTGTGTTGGAGATCAGGAAAGAAGATGGAACCATGTATCCTCCTTCCAGTATAAGGAGTATTTTGGGTGGTTTACATCGAGTCTTAAGAGAAAATGGTGCTACATTTTCTATTTTTGATAAAGATGACCCTATATTTCGTGAGTTTGCTCTGACACTCGATACAGCTACCAGCCAGCTACACAGTGAGGGAATTGGTGCTAAGTGTAATAAAGCTCTTGTGATTCCATTTGAGCACGAGGTCATATTTTGGGACAAAGGTGTCATCAGTTACGGATCACCCAAGAGTCTCATGCGAGCTGTCTTTTTTGGTATAGGCATGCATTTTGTTTTGAGAGGGGTTGAAGAGCACTGTAACCTTAAGATTGAACAAATAGAGCATTTTCCATCTGATCAATCTCTGTATTCAAGTGATACCTACTACAAATATACGAAATATATTTCAAAGAATAACATACACAGGTTTAAGGATATTAACACAACCAACAAATGTGTAAGGGTCTACGCTAAACCTGATAATGAAAGGTGTTTGGTTCATCTTCTAGATTTCTACTTATCAAAATTACCACCGGATCCACCAGCTTTTTATCTACGTCCACTTCTCAACATACCTGCCTTACCAGATTTGCCATGGTATACAAAGATGCCTATTGGAGCTAACACCCTGAAAAATGTTGTACCAGAAATAAGTGAGGAAGCAGGCATTGGTGTTCGATATACCAACCATTCTCTTTGAGCTACTGCTATCACACGCATGTACGACAGCGGTGTTCCAGAGAAATTAATTGCCGAGAAGTCAGGTCATAAGAGTTTGAAAGGGTTAAGGGCATATGAGAAAACATCAACAAGTCCAGAAAAGGCTGCTGGGGATAGCATTACATGTGAAAAGTCTTTTAACAAGACAGAGATGAGTGATGAAAAGCCTGTTTTACTTGATGGAATGAAGCCCATGCTGCCGGATCAAGTTGTTCACAATTTCTCTGGTCTTCAAGGTTGCACCTTTAACTTCTACAATAACTCCTAATATAAATGACTGTTATACAGAATTCTATATAATGGTATCAACTATCAACATCACAGATCTCATTCATCACTATTATTATTGTTACATGTCTAGTGTATGTAGCTGTGGCTGTGGTTTGCCTCTATCAAAGCTTGTGGTTAACAGGAAAGCCCATACATATTATACTGTGCGGTATTATATTCCACACAGTGCTACATTTTCCTACCATGCGGTTATTGGAAGTTGTAGCACTGGTGGCGCCTTTGATCCACCCACACACCATACTACAAATAAAAGTTAATCATTACATTACTTAATAAATATTTAATTTCATTACATACTATCTTAGCCCTGTTGATCATGTATTGCCTGAACCTCCACAGTAGTCTCTTTGGTGCTTGTGATATTATTAATAAAACAATTGACTGACATAACACTGACAGTACAGCTCTATCCAACCCAGTGTATATTAATAAATATGGAAGAAATGCAGCAAATTCAACTGAGAATATTGCTAGGAGAGAGAGAGAGGAAAAAGGAAGATATTAAAGAATATATGTACATGTAT